ACATATGACCTGTTATTGAAATTGAAATAAATAAATAATTTTTCTTCAGTATATTTAGATGTGGAAATATACGTTTCTGGTAGAATGACTCAGGAACACTCTGTTACAAGTTAAAGTCCTGCATTAAAATGTTACTCAAGTAAAAGCGCAAAATTATTAGCATACAAATATACTTAAAGTAGATATTACATGTTTTCATTATAATGATTGATCATTAAAGTGTTATCAAAGCTGGTAAAGGTGCAGCTAGTTTTAATGACTTAATGACGAATAACAACAATGATAGATCTTAATGTCAATAAATTGTCTTTATTTATATCATGAGTATTATCATAAATATAGCACGTTTGTTTATTTTAGCAAACCACGTAGGCCTACTTCAAGTAAAATTGAATAGAAATGATAATTTATAATCTTTTTGAAAAATAGAGATCGCACATCAGTCCTAGTGTGTACAGCTCAGTTCGATAAAGTCATGCCTAAACAGCGACATTTTACACGATAAATACGGGTTTAAATAGCAACATTTGCCACGGAAGGCGAGTGGCAGCTACCGTAAACCTTCTCTTACTCTGGCATCTTGTGGCAACCATGGTGGCAACTCCCGTTCAGCAGCAGCAGATGCCTCGGCAAGTAGTGACATCTGTGGCAGATGCCGGAAGTACTTGCCACTGCCTGCAGATCATGCTGCAGATGCCACGAAATGAGCCAGGCCCTACTGTTAATACTTGCTCCTCGTGTTTTATTTTTTACGCCTGGTAAACAAATTATAACTGTTTGTTTATATATTATATATTTTATTATGTAAGTGTTTCCTGCAAGCTCTTGTATATGAAATAAAAAAAAGAAACAACAACAAGGTTAGCCTCACGACTTTTGTATCTTTTGATAAAAAATGTGGCACCAAGTTGACAGTGTTCTGTAAACCGGTCCGGAAATGCACGGTCTCATATGCAATGTGTTTGATTTGCATAGTAGAGTACTATAAAATGAGTTGTATCTGCACCTCTCCAGATGCCACAGGTGAGTGTTGTGGTCGTCTCTCCGGCAGAGGGAGCCTCCACTTCACTCTGCAGAGCCGGGGATCACAACTCGTCTCTGGGGAACATTCACTCCGATCATCTGCTTCAGATGGCACTGTGATGCGCAGCTTGGTTATGCAAAGAAATTTTTTGTAGATTGAAGTTAAAGGACATAAGGCACGAGGAACAATGCATTAGTCAAAAAAAGCACACTACATTTGATTAAGAAGTACAGTTTGGTAAAATACTACTACAGTAATCCATTTTAGGCTTCCTTTATCTTCTGCACATATGTTAATATGCTCCATCAAATATCTTGCAGTCATATTTTATGAGCTTTTACACTAGAGAGCTAACGTATATTAAAACAATTTAACTAACAATGCTTGCTCTTTATTATAAATAGGCATAATTTGCTTCTAATTGTGCACTAGGCCACGTTTTGCTGTAATTATACACATTTGTGTAATACATTGGGACCCCCTCCCCCTAAGACACTCCCACCAAACATCTCAAAGGCTGCAAGAAGTTGCACTGAAAGGGACATAAAACACATTTTTACATTAAATGCACCTTATGTCCTTATAGGCCACCAGCTGTTTGTTTTTTTATAATATTCATAATTATGTTTGTGTTATGAATAAAAACACCTTTATGCAGCAGGCTGTTCCACATACAAACACATGGTACTATTGTCCAGCCTTTTTTCTTTTTTACGTGTAGGTTAGGTAGCCTGTTATCGATCTGCTTTCACTTTCCGCATTGAGCAGATCGCAATGGATCAGTGTCAGTTAATAGCTTGGATATCTGTTAATAGACTTCTTTAAGTGTAGTATTGCGTGGAGAAAAAGGTGCTAAAATGACCCAAAGTGCGGTTATTCTTTAAAAAACAACGATGATTTTGCTTGTTTTGTTAAAGGACGGACATTGACCTGGACTGTGATGTGGCCTGCATTTCTGTCACGGTGGAAAAACTCGGTATGAGAATATACAATGTTCTTAAAATCCAAATGTTGATCATATAACTAATCAAAAAATAAGATTAAAATAAAAATGGCTTAAAAAAAAAAGGAATGCAATTGTCGTCTAAAGCCATATTTGAGCATTCGTATGTATTTAATATAGGCTAAATGACTTTGTTTCATAATAAAAGTCAAAAGATAATTATAAATGCAGCAGTGGCTTACTCTCTAATCTTCCTCTGGGATGTTGTTTTAACGGAGGTTAGTTAAGTCGTACCGGGAAGGAAAGGGTAAAAAGTACGTAA